TAGGAACACATTTCTAGAAAGATGAGCTCAAGTAATTCATCATTATTCGTATATTATTTCCCTAGCCATTAAATTTTCGAGCGCTTTCAATCTAAGGGCATCATATGTTTTTCTACGTCTACTTTAGCTGTACCATAAGCTGATGTTCTGTTTTTCCGAATGAAAATCGTGTGGTTTGCTCATTTTGTTACCTTCGAGACTGTAGCCGTGGACGCCGCTCTAATCTCATCCGAATCCTGTTGCCGTTTCGGGTGCAACGAATTCGTCTGGGATTGGCGCGTCGTACGACATCGAGATTTTCTTTTTTTTGTTTTCTTGCAATTTAGCTAATTATCAAGCAGCTCAAGCAGCTGCCAATAAAGCCTCCTCCATCCATTCCTCTCAGAGACCAGAGCTCTCCAGTAGGCTCTTGTCACTCCAGTTTCAGAAAAAGCTTTTCCCTTTTCTTACACTTGTCTTCGTTTTTGCAGTACCTAGCACCACTGGTAGATCACTGGACTCTATAATGAGATAGATTTATTCTTATTTGATCCCGTCGCTCCCTCCGAATAAAAGTATAGACTTCTATCTTAGATTGAGGGAACGTTATCTATTGGTCATACTAGGGTATTATGTCAAATGTTATACAACCGCAAGACATGCTGAGATATTTGCAAAACTCGGAACCCCAGGCTAGCGTCGAACTTGTGATTACCTTTTCCGGCGACCCACTTATTACTCACAGCACCATCGAGACTGCTCTGCCTGGCTCTCGGCCCGATTTAAAGTAAATGACAGGTAGTAAATAAAAAGTTAAACCTTATGCATTGAGGCACCTTAGATTTCGACAGCCACGATGTGGTAGTAACCCTTTAGGGATTTAAAATGGCCTCACTAAATCCTTCTCTAATCTTACCCATATTGTGACCAACACATCTTACAAAAGAAATTCTTTTCTGGAAATTCTTATGATCACTTCGTTAATCATCGTTTTCAGAAGTTAGAATCATATCTGAAAAATCAGTAAAAAGAATGCATTTAAAAACGCGATGCTTTTTATGCTTTCGTCGTTCTATATGAAAAGACTTTATAAGAGCTATCTGCCATATGACATCACTCCCCTCCCCACTTTGAAGTAGTCACCTAAGAACGTTGAACAACGAGTATTAGGGGCTCCGAAAAATGCGTTTTCTACAATAGGAAGGAAAACTACTTTCCAAATAAACCAGTAGACTTTGCCTTGTCATCACCATCACACTATATTTCTTTTGCGATTATTGCACCTTTTCTTCTTTTTGAGAGAAGGTTAAACTGTCGTACGGCGCTCTCTCTTGCATGGTAAAGCTAAAAGGATAAAGCTCTTGGCGTTGATGAATCCCTGAAGGATGCGCCATGCATTCGACCTCACTAAGTATCGTTGGAGGTGATTAAAAGCATATCTGGTCTTTACAATGACTTGCGGTGGCCTGCCGATGTATCGAGCTAGTGCTGCTATCCTCCCAGACAAGTCTGGTACCAATTTGCGGACCCCAGAGGGATGGAAGGCTTCGTGGGCCATCGGCGCGGGAATCTATTCCACGTATGTATCGCAGTGGCGCCTCCAACCGCTGCGCCACACGCGCCCGTCTACTGCATGAATGGTTGAGAAATTTCGATTTGGCCATTAGATTTCAAAAAATAAAATTTTTCACCAGCTTTAAGCAAAAATTGGTGTAAGCAAGCATTTTAGAAAGCGGTTTTTTCAACTTCGCTCTCTTTCTGCTGACCGTACCTTGCCTGCCTACCAGCTTATTGGCTGAGAACACCTCGAGGCCTCACTGAAACCTTGTTGAAAGAAGTAATACACGATGGTGTTATTCAAGGAAAGTTTATGGTTTGACTGATCAGTTCTCACGAAATTCGCTTTGGCGATTCGCCTGATTAGAATTAGATTAGCCGTATTCTCATCCATGTGGTGAATCCTAAGCACTTACACTAGTGGAAAACTAGCTGAGAGAAACGCAAAGCAAGGGCTTCCGTGGCGCAGTGTGCAATGAGCGAGCCCCCGGAAAGGAAATTTTTGGTTCGATCTGGCCCAGGGTCCAAATTTGGCGAATATCTCGGCATCGTCGTGGTTGATTTCGAATAATGCGTTGCCGTGAAGATTGTAGTAGGCAGCAAATAAAAAAGAAAACTTACACTAGTTACTTAATTTTCTCTTCACTTCGTGGTAGACAAATCGGTTCTGTCAAAGTGCAACTTCATCAAAATTTTAGGAAAATGACAAAGGAAATTTCAACAGCAAACGGCTCTGTCTACAGGAACATCGTAGAATTTCGATTTTGATTTTGTCTTTATTATATCAAATCTTCACTATATCAAAACATGCGCGTGTGGTGCAGTGGTTGGCGGCGCCCGCTCCCATGGCCCACCAGGCCTTCCATCCCTCCGGGTTCTGCAAATTCGTACCAAACTTGTCTACGAGGATACACCACTGGCTCGACACCATTGTAAATGCCAGGTATGCATTCAATCGCCTCCAAACGATCTTTAATGAAGTCGAATGCATGGTACATCCCTCAGGAATTGATCAACGCCCAGAGCTTTATCCTTTTTCATATCAAATCTAAAGCTTATCCCAAAGAAGTTCTGAAATAGGTCTCAGTTTTGCTGGTCATGATTATAAACTTTGGAAAAGCTAACAACTATAGAAACAGCTAATATAGATATCGCAAGAGGATTCAGTGTATGTACGTATGAATATCCAATTTTGAAATAGGGAAAAATTTCGAAATAAAGGCTTTTCAACAAAAGCGACAACGTGGTTGACCATACAGGAACCTAACCAGGTATCAAAAGCTCGATGACTTTCCAATCTCCGTGAACTATCCATGAAATTTTTGCAAGGTAAATTATTTTGTTTTCTTTGGGAATTTTCATTCACCATTCAAATATTTGTTATGTATCCCCACAGATTTTGTGAGTGACGATGAGAATTCTTCATCTCACAGCTAACAGGGCGAGTTGCTGAAGTCGCTCTGCGTTTCCCATGCACCTGTTGACATGATCCTCATTCTGGGTGTGTTCACGCTCAGAGAAGCAAGCAAACAGTCGTAGAGGCGAACTAATCGATTCGAACAGGAAAGACCACTCGGTTTTACGGTTGTTGACCAGTCGACTATCGTTTACCAATTGTGTTCCCATGCGCTCTTTCAATCCATCAGAACTAGTGCTGGTGCTGAACATCAACCAGGTACACTACCCACGCAGAGGATATGACAACCATGTCTGCGGAATTGAAACCGAACAATTACGGCCATCATAACAAATTAGAAAGGAACTCACATGTTCCCAAGGTGTTCTTCCAGTAGTGCTTAATCTCTAGCTGGGAAAACAATAGACTCTTTGCCGTGCTGAAGTGAAATACTAAATATTACTGAATTATAGCTAAGATTTTCCATTTCAACTTTTCAGAAACAAGAATAGGCAGAATAATGCCTTTGACTCTACAGTGTAGGATATCTAGGCTGCAAGTAGCAGCGCAGTGGTAGTGGTATTAATAACCACAAATACGGTGGTAGTTCAATTCAAGTTCGGTCTCAACAACCCTCTCATCCCATCAGGGTCTGGCTACCTCATGATTACATAAAGAACGATTCGACCGTCATTCAGCAACATTCATAAGGAAGACGATACAAATAGTACCCCACCACCAGCTTACTCCATGCGCGAAAAGTTCGAAGACCTGCTTTGATGATTGGATATGAGGAAACCAATATAATGCAAGAAATGCTGGAATCTTTACAGTAGATATACGAGACGAGTCGGGTAAAATTTAAAATAAAAATCGACATTTTTCAAAAAAGGGCGCGTATGGCGCAGTGGTTGGAGGCGCCACTGCGACACACACGTGTAATCGACACCTGCGCCCATGGCCCACCGAGCCTTCCATCCCACTGGAGTCGACAAATTGGTACTAGACTTGTCTGGGAGGATAGCAACACTTGCTCGATACATCGGTGAGCCACCGCGAGTCATTGTAAAAGCCAGATAATCATTCAATCACCTCCAAGCGATGCTTAATGAAGTCGATTGCGTGGCGCATCCTTCAGGAATTGATCAACGCCAAGAGATTTATCCTTTCATCCTTTAGTTTTTAAAAGAAGTAATGCTGCTTCTAAAAAGGTTTTCCTCTCTAGAATGTCTTAGAAAAAAGTGGAGTTAATATAAAGCGTTAACAATTGGCTGAAAAGGTGATTTAAATTCAACTTACTTTTCAAAGAATCGCACACTAGAATGTTTACGATGTCGTAATCAAATAGGCCGCTTAATGCCAACAAGGCTCTTAAAAACAGGGCCGACTTCGGCAGGTTCACAACTTTGTCTAAATCACTGGCTCAGCGTGGTTGATGCCTACTGACGGGAAGTTGTTGATGTAAAACTCCAACCTCGGCGCTCTCAACAACAATACTCACCTATTTCAATCCAGCCGGTTCACCAATGCCTTCGGGTATGTCGCTGTCATCTTTATGAACGACACTCTATCCAGTTGTTTGTTAACGACAAAAAAGGTCCGATTCGATATCAAATGCGAAAATTTTGGTATAAAACTTCTTTTGTAGAGCGTCCTACTTTTGTTTCGAATCAAAAGACTATCTTTATGTTTAATTGAAATCATTCCAAGGATTAGTGGAGTGATCGTAACGTTCAACAACTCCAGTAGAACTTCCAGCATGAATAAATGCTCACTGTCTTCTAAATTCTCTGCGGAAACTCATTACCTGAATGGACCGACGAAAATAAATCTCCCATTCGTGTGTCTTTCTCGTGAGCTCTGTGGAGCAGTTATATTCACCAAAATCCCCTGCCCCAACACAGCTCCCAAACAGGTCTGCTCTCTCTCCCTCTCTCACTCACTCACGCACACATAAACGCGAAAATCACGTCCCTCTCGATTGCCTAGTCCCTCAACTGCGTTACTCAATGTCCCCGCCCCAGCCGACGATTCCCCAACTTTTTTCTCGGTTTCCTTTCCACAGAATATGATGTTTCTGATAGTATTCCAACCATTTATCGCTTTCGTCTCCAGTAAACCTTTAAATCTACTGGATGGTGGCTCATTTCGGCCAGTTTCACCGAATTACTGTAATAACAGGTAAGAGCATCAGATGAGCACTCTGGTAATTTCGAGAGTTTTAACTCTCTATTGTTTTCGTTTCTTTCCTAAACATTTAAACTTTGTTTAGTGATGTAATTTCGAGTTTTCCTTGATGACTCTTAATTAAACTGAAGTTTTAGCGCAAACTTGTCAACTTACTCTAGTTTAAGCAAGAAAAGAATGATTTCATTTTTGAAAAGTGTGATGGTCTTCGAAACAAATTCAGCACCATTATGTTGGAATCCGGACTTATTAGAGCGAATATGGGACAATTCCTCGGTTATGAGTGTAGCTCCGAGTTCTTTCAATGTCGCTGGGAAAGTGATGGATTTAGAACGTATCGAAAACGCTGCACTGCAGGTGATTTTCCTTCATTGGTTTTTCTTCACTTTCGCGTGGTTTATTACTCCTTTAGTACCTATTTTCTTATTTATATGATCCGAATTGACCTAGAGTGCGGATCCTGGTGCTTCTGTCATCCAATTCATATCGGTCATTCACGAAGATTTTTAGGTCTTCTTGTGTTATTGGTGAGAGCCACTGAACATCATTCAAGTTGATTCTATCTGGAATTCTGCAATATCACTGCATGACCGTTCTCACATCCTCATCACATAACCAGCCGCTGGCCCTTATAGTTGGGGCTGTGTGAAAGCTTTTGTCACAGACAACTTTGGCACTAGCTTACCAACCCTGGAACGACTGAGGGCCTAATTGCTCCAAGGATCTGGTCGAGCTGTCGACGGCATGTGCATAAACCCGAGATCGTTTACCACTGCGCTTTTGGTGTCATTTTACGTCATGCATAAAAATACAATAGTTTTAAAATTTAAAATCGTTTTTAAGGTCTTGTCTACGATGTGGTTGGAACACAAAATTGTAACTATGACTACAATGTGAAAACATGCGGAATCAAAAGTGGAGGTAGTTGGGGAATTGACGAAATTTCTTCTTAGCAAGTTATTCTCAGAGTTTACGAATGGTTCCTTTTCTTACTTACGAAGATCTTTGAGGAATTTTGCTCATTTTATGGCCCACAAATCAGATTCTCTAGGACTTTTGCTCTCTATTGACATAACACCGTATGTAAAATCAAATCTCGTTTAAAAAATTGTTTTCCTTAAGATTGCGTTTTTGGGCTCACGCAAGTTCACTTCAAGAGAGATTTGTTAGAGAAATTATTTGTCCGTCCACTCGTCTCGATCACTTTTTCAGGTCCCACTTCGTGTAACTCAACTTCATTCCACTGTTCGCAGTCCGAACAATGCGTTCCGCTTTCGAAGAGATGTGACGGTCGCTACGATTGCTCACTAGAGGAGGATGAGCAGAACTGCCGTGAGTTCTCTATCCTTTTCTGCACATACAACCTCTTCACCTTCCTAAGTTACAGCACTGAAATTAGGGACATCACGATTTTAACTTTAGATAAGTTGGAGATGTCTGTACCCCAGTGGTTAGAGGCGTCCTGTAACAAAGGCAGAGTCCTTAGTTCAATTCCACTGCTCTGGGTAAATTGAGGGTTTTAGTTATACGGGATCGGTAAATTGGTAGAAGATTTATCCAGTAGCGACAGGCACCAACTTTATAACTCCCAAAGGCGGGTTCCTATCATCCTCGGCGTTTATCTGGTTAGGTAATGCATCACTAATTCGTAATGGATTTATCAAGAAAACAGAGAATTACTCTGACTTGTTGTTACAGTTGAGTAACAGATGAGTTATTCATGTCATAATCATGTGGCACAGGAGATCACTATATAGGAAAAATATGAATTCAGTCACTTCTTGGAATGGTTTCGAATCATCAGAATGCATCCTCAAGGGACTGATCAACGTCAAACGCTTCATGCCTCTATCACTGTTTCTTGAGGTTTTATTTTCTAGCGATGTGCTTGGCGTCCGAATTTGCGTGTGTCGTCTCCGAACAGTGCGTTGAGTTCAGTCGGCGTTGCAATGGCATCAGCGAATGCAACGACGGCACCGACGAGAAGGACTGCGACGGTCGGTGGACAAGGTTTTTTGAGATATCACTATCGCTAGGAGTTCCTTATGCCATTATAGGAAAAATTTCTTTGTTTTCGTAATTATACGGAGTTTCTCGTCTTTTACATTTTTGTCTGAAAAATCTGTTATAATAATGAGTAGTCAAACATCTATGACAAAACTGAGTTTTAGAGTTTTCAAATAATAATACTATTCTGGCCTGAGAATGACTCATTGGTTCTATGTAATCTAGTTATTTTATAAAATTCTTAGAAATAGAAAAATTATTAGAAAGAAATAAAAACTGATATCAATAACAAGAAGTGAGACAGTTGAAAAAACTCTTGGCTTGATGGTAGGGTATTGTTAGAAAGAACCTCAGCGACCAGAGTTCGATACTTTTCTGGTCTCTTGAAAGTTAACTCGCCTTCTTTCTTCATTCCATACTCTTCACGTAAAAGGGACAATGTTTGTTTGGTAGAGAAAGATAGCCTCAGCTCTCTTTACTGCCTTTGATAGAACGGTAAACGACTAATAAGATTTATTAAAAAGTGTTACACTAAATGTCTAACGGATATATAAGGATGAATAACTTGATAGTAAGAGCTTTGTTTTAAGACATGGGCAAAGAGCTTGCTCTTTCTGGGTTTTTCGACTAGCGGAACTCAGCTTCGGGTTTGAACAAACAGGAATTGAGGTTTAGTGCCCGAAATGTTCAGCGGAGGACAACATACAAGGTTTCTTTTTTCATATCACAACCGTAAATGGAAATAGACAAGTGCAGAGCACTGGTTAGAAGTGCCTTGCAATGCAAACGTGGCTACTGGTTCGACCACAAGCTCAGGACAAATGCAGCCCTTAATCCACCTAGGGTTGGCAAATTCTTGCTAGAGTCGCCTGGAAAATGCTCAACTCGGAGCACAAAGAAAGGCTCTCGCCTTTGACCAAGACCTAAAAAAGCTCTAATAAGGCCACACCGGGGCCACAAGGAGAATCAACTAACTCTTCAAGAATCTTGAAGGAGCAACCAATCTCATGCGAAATTCCGAAGGCCTCCGTGAATGACGAATTCCAAGCAACGAACTAGATGAAAGAAGTACTGGGATTCTCACAATATGTAAAGTGCATTCCTACAAATGGGTGTGACATAGAATTTTAGTACAACTAAACACTTCAGTAGAACGTTTTTAGCTTAATATAACCAGTCCACATGTTATCGTGTCCTCATCAACCAATAACACTTTTTTGATGTAAGCACTTTTTCGTAATTTGACTCTGAAAATTCTCTGATGAAATTTTTTCCTAGCGCTGATTTAGCTTGGAAAATTGTGCAGTCTGAGTTAGAGCATAAAGAATGTGGGAAGAGCTTCTCCTGCAAGTTTTTCGTAAGGAATGCCACTTATAGAAAATGGAGGATCTGCGATGAATTGAATTAAAGTTGATCGGTTCTTATTAATAACAAAAAAGGCTTGACAGCTTGAATTTATTTTTGAGAGACTCTTTATAACACTTTTATCCTATTATGGAATTTTTATGGTGGTGCATTCCGTTTGGTCAAGAATTTCTTGACTAGTAACTGCCACGACCGACTTTCTATTAACCTCGGCATTGATCAAGTGATTTTGTTCGTATTTTTTTGAGCAAAGACCTCATAGAAAGCGGCTCTGAAGAAGACGAAATTCGCCGAAACGTCAGCTTAATCGTGAACAAAGAACAATAACACCTCGCGTTTGCTCAAAAAATACGAACAAAATTTCTTGACTAGTATTATGCTCACTAAAAACTTAGTGAAGACAGTAGCCTTCTTCTGTGCTCTGGTCATGGTCTCCAGAAGGGCATTCTGGCTGCTGCATGACACCACAATGCGAAAATGAAAGTGCCGCGATTTCTTCACGAAAGAATCGCTCCAGATGTTCTCCAGTTTGAATAATGAATTCCGTCAAAAGCTGAGTTGTTGTTTTCCGTTTCAGTGTGCGGGAACGGTTTGTTCCACTGTGCGAAAAGCGACGAATGCATTCCGAAAGAACAGCGCTGCGATGGAATCCGACAGTGCCCTCATGGAGAGGACGAGTTGCTCTGCAAGTTCGTGTCGTACTTTTTGCTTTTCTATGGAACCTATTTTGTGTTTTCTGGCAGCAACAATGGCTAAGAAAAAACATTTGTTGCTTTCGACAAAATAGTGCAGCTACTTTAACCTACCGTGGTAACAATTTCTACACAACAAATCGATGTCTGAAAAAAATAGTAGGAGTGGTAACTCTATGAAAAGCTACTATGCTTTGGTTATTTCCGCGGAGACAATCAGAAAACCATTTCGCCTAAGCATCGTTTGAAAAAATCTTTGCTGGCGGGAAGAAAAAACTGTTACATAACTTCATAAGAAATTGGTAAATGTCTAAAGAGAACACAGGAGAAGTTTATATATCTGCTATATATATATATATGTATATATATAATATTTGCTGCTATTTTCGACGTTGACAGGGTGGATAGCACAGTAGTAGTGTCATCGCGAGCATGGTGCTAGTTCGACTCCGCTCCTGGCCAACCAAGCCTCTCATCCCTCTGGGGACAGGAAATTGGTGCCGGACTTGTCTGGAAAAAGATCACCGTCTGCAATCCAATTGGGAACGTTCCACTCCGGCGATCCCAGGACTCCAGGGAGAATTGTTCGAACATACGACAGAATACGACATTCAGAATGAAATAAAAATACTCAAGCAGCATCCGAAGCCACACGTAGAAACTTGGAAGACCTTCGTGGACGAGTGGCGATAGATGCGAGGAAACGAAATGGATGTGGGAAGTGCTGGAATCCGCACTGTAGACTTTAAAACGGATTAAGTAGAATAGAACAAAGATGAATAAATAAATATTTTTCGACGTTATACCATTTATACTTTCTCTTGACTACTCCACTACCTGTTTGCAGTTTAGCAAAATGGTTTTCAGAATTTTTAAACATAATGACCTTTTGGAAAGACTCCAGCAAGTTTATCTAAAAAAATTTCTGTCCACCTACTCCAGTTTAATTAACTGAATTTCCAGAAGAAGAGCTGCAAATCGTAGGTTCACATGCCTTTCACTGGGAGAATACATTCCGATGACACAGGTTGTGAGAAAGCTTAATAGAATTTTTGCAATTTCCCACCGGATTTTAATGTTTCAATGTTTGATTTTTTAGGTTTGTGATGGAGTTCCACAGTGTAACGATAGCTCGGACGAGTTATACTGTAATATAGGAATAGGAATTGCTCAACCTCCTGTTTCAACAATGTATGGAGAAGTTGACACCGGTTTTAATAGTTCCAGTGCTTTAAGAACACGACCAACACCATATTCAGGAAACAAATTACGTAAAGACATACTCAACCTCACTCACATTGCGTTATTTTTCCTCATTCACCACAATTATAGAAGCGTCCCGTACTTGATCGACATTGTTAGGCATTCGAAGGCGAAGAAACTCTACAGCTATGAGGGGCTTTTCAGGGTGACAACTAGATTAGCCCATCCTTTGGGTGATCCCTTTTCTTTCCTCTCTTTCTCTCTGTCTTTGTTTTTGCTTTATTTCTATCTCATTCTCTACTTCTCTCTTTATGTTATCTACGAACTTTTAGAACTAATCGATGGAATGCACTTCGTTTGCGGATGAAAACCGAGACATATGATGAGAATTTCATGGATTGCTTTCATGTCTCGTGAAAGAAATACAAAACGCCCGAAGTTAAGCAGCGCTTTAGAGATGCTCCATGCACACGAATGCTTATGAACCTTCCACGTACACTTTATGTTACACCGTGTTCAATTTCTTTTGTTTGCAGGTTCTTCTCATTGGATCGGAATCGGAAGAAACGGCCAAGATTTAGTGAGCACGAAACTGATAACGAAGATTTTCCACTAAACCAGAACAAACCACTTTTTCCTATGTTCTCAATTACAGCGCGACCCGTCACTTCAACTATGTGGGTCAACCTCTTTAAATTGAGCACCTCATCAATATTTAGTTCCTAAAATTTCACTAAGCTAAGATTTTCTTACATTCTTACCAATCAGAGTAGTAGGATAAAACAATGAGCGTTGATCAAGCCATTAACAATACGACATGCATCCAAGCACATTCATTGCGTCGTGGAGGGTTTGAATACATACATGGCATGTATAATGATCTGTGGAGCATGTCAACGTAATATGACAGTGGTTTTACTCCCTCATAAAAGTCTGCTATCAATTTTCCGACTCCAAAGTACTAGATGACTTGGTTTGCTTTTGGCAGAATAGTCGCATGCACATTAAAGCACCTCTCCTAACGGTTTACCGCCTTACTGCGGCTTGGAGGTGCTCCTGGGTGCCGGGTTGCGATGTACAGCCGGAGGATTCATCTTCCCAGCAGGATCTTCCAAGCAGAAAAGGAATCCGGCTTTTGTTAACCTAAGGGTGAACCGATACCAGGACCCACCACCACCCTGATATCAGATTAGTTGCATGGTGGCAAATCTCTCTCTGATCCACAAGGGTGGTGAGTGCCTGTGTAGGTGAGCAACCTGCGGCAGACTTAGGCTAGTCTGACCTCGAGACTCCAAGAAGCCATAATGGATGAACTAGGAAGATTCTGAAAAAATAGAAGTTATGCTAAGAGCTAGGCAACTAGTGAAGAAGATCCATCCGAGTATCCGACTATCGAAGTATTAGGGAGCCACTAACCCCTGTGCTACACGCATCTTTTCGCGACCATATGAGCTTTTTGGTTCACTAGTAGACTAGAATGGTTTGATTTCTTATCTTTAAAGTTTTTATCTCAGTTCGCATCAAACTCACTGGTTTTAATGGAATTTACTGGGATCTGCAGATTCTGTCTACATGATACAAATTCGGTTTTCAGCAAGGTTAAAATTCCACCAAGTCATATGCTGAGCGGGGGGAACGAACGCACTATTACCCTTCCCAGTGACTAACGCCACCACATCATGCGGGTCCTTCGTTTTGCATATCTCTACCGTTGATGGGTGATTGCTGATGGCACCGATCTCTCCCATTGATGAGTGATTGTTGATGGCACTGATCGATAGAACTAGTTGAGAGACAGGCGGAACGAAGGGCCCGCATGGTGTGATGGTGAACGCTTTAGTCACCGGAATGGGTAATACCGCGCTCATTCCCCACCTCAGACTCCGGTCCTGAGTTTCGCAAACATCTCAGCATTGCTGTGGTTGTATTTCGCATAATACCCTGCCGTGAAAACTGTAGAGGTAGAAAGTAAAAAGTAAACATTGTGAAATGCTGAGCTTCTGATATTTCATATATTTTATCTTTTCGTTTTTCTTTCGTCGCTCGAGCTCACACCTTCGTGTTACTAAGCGAGATGTGAGCGAAAACTCGTCCACTACAATATAACCATTGCTCCGAATGTGTTTTTAAGTTAACGACTGCTGTGCTCGTGTTACAATCTCATGTTGATATGGTTTCAAACGTTTTCTGAGTGAAAATTTGCTAGGAATAGAAACCTTTTTTTGCTCGTTTTTAGAGGCATAGAGCAAACCGCGTTCTATGAGTCTTCTAAGTCTTCCTGAAATACTCTATTTATCAAAAAATCGGCACAGATATCAATGTGTCAAGCGCCAGAGCGTCAGCACCAAACGGCTAAATGACACCCAAATAAGTAGATGAGGAAATTTATGCAGCGTCCATTCTATTAACAGATTGACCAAACCTCCCCGAAGTCAACCACTCTATCGGATCTTGTCTGTAGCGGTGACCGCGCCATCGGCATCATCAGGATCACTCAGCAAAATCCATTCCGCTGGTCAGGTAACGCCTTGGATTCGTTCTTGGTTCTTCCTTCCGAAAATTTGCAGTAGTCTTTTGCAAATCACAGCTTTTCCCTTTTCCTTAAATGTCCATTTTTAGTCAACGACTAATATTGTTACCAGTGGTACTGTCCAATTTTCCACGTCAACTGCTCGTCCATCAACAATGTTGAACACATCAAAGGTGAGATATTTTGGCCGAAAAAGAGTCGACACTTTGAATTTATTACGAACAAAAACTACTATTTCTAGCAGCGACTCCATGCGTCAATCAAGTTTTTTTTATCTTTCTAGACCATTCTGGTAGATTTTGCTAGTCAAGGATGCACGAGGAGCTTATTTTGTCTGGGCGTGGGACCGAACCAATGACGCAGTGTGCATTGAAGGGCGTCTTAACGACTGCGCAACACAAGCCGCACATAAGTATCTCAATCAAAATTCGAAAAATGATGCATCAATAGAGGCGTTGGTAGAGATTTAGAAGTTTCCGTTTTGGAGAATCACAGTAAGAGACAGTAGTGATGATGTGTTACAAGTCCGGATATGAATTGAGAAAGACATTTTATTTGGCTTCTAGTTGGCTAACCAACCTTTCTCAGATTATTCTGCATTAGTTATTTGATGAAGCCCGCTATCCTAAACACGATGTGTTCAAAAAGTTTTTGTTATCCAGTCTACTTATAGGTTGGGCGTGTGACTTCACTGAAGCCGAAGCCTACAGCAGAAGTCACTGATGGGAAATCCAAACACTACATGATTACTCCTGATGAAAATGGCAAAGAAAAGGTGCCTTCAAACGTCAACACTTTTCACGTTTTATCCAAAATAGGAAGATTTCTAATATTGCATTTTAAAACGCTGAAAAAGAAAAGTTACTTTCTTGGATACTTGGATGGCTTGTCTTCACTGATATTGCGGGACTTCGCACAATTTCCATTCGTTTCCCTCTTTCTCTAGCAGCTTCCATAATGATGGCTTGCTTCTAACATCGTGATGCTCGTGAACTCTATTCCGTAATCCTAAAATCGTTATCGTTTGCGAGTGCAGATGGTTGACTTTACTTTCGAACAGCCCCGCCCATCGTTTAGGTATTCTTCCAAGAGAACGCATGCATTCTCTTGAAGTCCGCTTCACCATGGAGTCGTGCACCATATGCGACTATAATCAGCTGTTTCTCTCTTCCTCTGTGGAAGACAGGTAAAAGGCAGCTCTGAAGAAAACGATACCGCCGAAACGTCGGCTACTGTTGTGTTGAAATATGTTTTTTGGACGGAAGCAAGTGTATACTGTAAAACAACCTCGCAATTGCTGAACAACAAAACGACGCATTTATAATCCACTGCTCTTTTCCTCTGTCTCTTATCTGTTGTTATTGTGTAGCCCACCAGTCTGTGCTTCTCTATCGCTGTATATTCTTTTGGATCCTAAGGCTGAGATATGTTTCGAAGGTTTGAGCCGCGTATTCCTGATAGGCGCTGTGAGCGCTGGTTAAATGTCTGTGTGGGTGGTGCTCATATTCATAACGTGGTTGAAATGACCACATTGAATGGTGATTTTCTGACCTTTTCTTCTAGGGGTAAAATGTTATAAGGGTTGTAAATAGTGCATGGAATTTGTGGCATCAATGCCAATGCTACGAGGAAGTCGGCGCTAATATTATCGGATCCTGAAGCTGTGTCTCTATTCACGCTTTCTATTGCAACTAAAGCTTCGGAGGATGAAATCCTGGGCGATTTTTCCAAAGCGGAGTGTTCGGGGTCCGAGAGGGAAATTATGGAACAGAAATAATTACTATAGAGCTTTTTTTATCAATTCCATATCGTGATTAGTGGAGAATTAAAGTCGCAAAGATCCCCAAGACACCTCTTTAGAGTAAATGGTTTTCGAGCTGCTTCCTACAATTTTTCTTCCTAAACAGATGTTCCTTAACAAGCGTATTTGATCAGTGCCGAGTTTAATAGAAAGTCGGTTAGGGGAAACATAAGACTGTCCGTTAGTGATAAGGGTGGGAGTTCGTTGTAATTCCTTATCAGTTAGATGTTGAGATAACGAAAAAGCATCTTAGATGCTTCGCTTTATGCCATCGTCTGAGAAGGAATTTAAAAGTCAATACCGAAAGTTACGCCACGAATGGGTTAAAACGGCAAGATCAGCTGAGTTAAAACCATCAGTTATCTCTATGTCCTATCTTGTACTTATTTACCAAAACTCATAAGTTAGTATCCATCGATGATCTTGTGTCTACTGATTCATCGTTATTTAAGGGTAGACCTACCATTAGCTGTGTGGATGAAATAACGTGGTTTATAATCCTAATACTTACCCAGTTGTTGAAGCACATTCCAGCCCATCTAACGAACACCCAGATGTTCCTGAATGGTCTACCTAACGCGCGCCCAAGCAGCGCCTACGTGAAGGAGTCCTTCGACAACACCGTCCTCTATACAAACGTGTCGAATGACTCCGCTATGCAAACCATTCTCGAACTCCTTACACAACACGAAGGAAAAATAAACATGACTTCACGGTTCAATGCTTAATGACACTCTTAAAAGAGTGCCTAAAATGCTCAATCTTCAGATGATCCGGGAGGTATTAAGCACAAATGTGAGGGTTGGCAACGGGACAATGGCTGGTACCAAGCCTTGATATCGCGTTTTTGTCTGAAGGGGAAGCACCAGTAACCGATCTCCGGCTATTACTGTATTGTAGGTATGCAGATGACTGCTTTATGATTTGCTCAACACAAGAGGAAATGGATAAATGTTTCTAGTTGTTGAACCAACAGTCACATTATTTTAAGTTCAGCCAAGAGAAATCGAAAGAAGGCGGGCTTCCATTTTTCAACGTGCAAATTAACCTGTCAGAAAACGGCTACATTACGAAGTGGTATTGAAAGTCAAACAGTGAAATATACTCGTTCATTAACTATCCTCTCAGCCCTCACACACAAAAAGGGCGCTTATAAGAAACATGTTTCGAACAGCAACCATCGTATGCAGAGGAGGAGAGCAGACGGAGAAGGACCGGAACTTGGCGCAGCAATTATCCATTTCTAATGGCTACGAAACTATAGCTCGGCCTTAGGTATAGAAGAAAACCCAGGCTCCCAACTGGCAACTTTGCGACCATAAAACGTTGGTTAAAAAGTGCAGGTCTAGATAATTCTGTAACAGTAACTGAAATGCCACTGAGCACTCTATTACGCCAGCTAGTTATCAACCGCCTGTGTGAACGTCTATCCTTGAAGGCATTTTTTGTGTAATCGTGGTTGGTGAAGCATTTCTCGTGCAGGAAGTCGCCAAAGTGCTTGAGGAAGTGATAGTCGATATGCGTAAGGTTCGATGAATATGGCGGATGAGGCAAAGTTTCGCAGCCCGACTTGTCAACTTTTGCAACGCTGGTTCTGCAACTTGAAGCCGGACGTTGTCGCGGAGGCTTGACCCTTTTCTGTCGACGGATGCTGGTCGTTGTTGTTGGAGTTTACAGTGAATTTCGTCGGTTCGTGGGCAATACTTCTCTGCCGTAATTGTCGCCCGTATTCAAAAGCTGTGATGAATCAGCCTGCCTGCAGACCACCATAACCTTTTTGGTGCAACTTCGGCTTTGGGATGTGCCATGCAGCCTGATCGCAATCCAACCATTGAGCTGAATGTCGCTTGTTACTCGTACAGAATCCACTGCTCGTCGCACGTTACAACTCGTCCAGGAAAAGGGTCCCTTTTTTTGCTCAGAATAAGAGCAGATGATACTTCAGAGCGGCAATTTTTTTTGAATATCGTTTACCCACTTGTCGAGTTTTTTTTTGTCTTTCTCATGCGATTCGAGTGAGCGGCAATTGTTCCTGTGCTTATGCGAAGCTGTTCTGCAAGCTCTCGAACAGTTGTTCGCGTGTTTGCCTCTACTAGTACTTTCAATTTATCGTGGTCAAATTCATTGGGACGTCTGCGGCCTTCCTTAACTTCGAAGTCGATATCACCAGATCGGAACTTTCCGCAACTATATTCGCACCTTTTATTCACCAACGCTACCTTCAGCACAAACTTGTCGATATTCCGAGCTCCTGGCGCGGCATTATGTCCACTCCACCACTGGTACAAAAAAGGACACCAATATCAGCTTGATTCATACTAAAGTTAACTCCTGAACTTACTTCATCTTGGGAAACCCTGCCAGGAGATGAATTCCCCACTGTACATCACATTGCAACACCCAGAGGCACCTCCCAACTACGATGAGGAGATAACCGTTGGGAGGTAACGCCTATAAAAAGGTTAAAATAGTAAATCTTGAGTATAACCAATGCTATAAAGGGTAGGCTTTTGCTTCAAAAATATGTACTAAACATGCGTAAAGGACAAGATTTTTGTTCGAAGAATTACATGAAAAATTAGAAGAACGAAATTTCAAAAAAAGATGAAAGAAAAATGAAAAAGGTATGTTATATGTGCCAACCTAATACATCTGATCTCTTTGATGAAGAGGAATGCGTATGGAAGAGGAGGTCGCGTAACGAAAACGGTTGACTAGGGAATGTGGGGAACAACGGTAATGAAACTTTGGGAGATTTGAGCGCTCGAAGAAGAAAGCCACCTAAAAGAGCACGAACAGTTTCTGAGTTTCCAAATGCAACAATAGCGTAATTCCGCTTGGTGCATACCAGCGCTATCAATGCTGAAGCATTTCGAAGAGCAGATGCAGTGAAACAAAACAAGAGAAGAAATTGTTTATGATGCGCGAATCCTAATGGAAGCCCATGCAAAAACTCCTGTTCTAACGACACAATTTGGAAGAGGCATTTCGATTCTCCCCATGTTATTATGAGTATGACAAGAGAAAAGGTAGAGATATCGTTCTATCTACACACGGCTCTCGTTCCGCCCCGCGCTGAAATAACCACGTCATCCTTCATCCGGTTTTGATAAATTGAGCTTCATTCCATTCAGAAAAGCTGGCGACTTCGTGTGGTAACGATCTGCGAACGCACTAGAGCGACTATCCTGGATTCCAGGAAAAGTTGTCCGGACCCGCCCCTAGTCGCACTCATTAAAAAACCAAAAATTCTCAGGCAACAGCGGAAGCGACACGATATATCCAAAACTTCGCGGATTACAGATAGAGAGAAACAATTACTAAACTAAAATTAGTGGGATCCACACAACATGTGACGTTAGATCCAACGAAACAAAAAATGTTGCGAAAGCATAAACAAAACGCTGTGATTGAAGCAGACATATAGGTGAAACTAGTTATGGGAAACATTTCAGTCTTTTTGACCTTCAACATTATAAAACTTTAGGTGGCAGTAAGGTCAGAATATTCTTCTTTAGCTTTTAATGGATTAGTACTACGTTTTGCCAACTCTGATGTTCATTATCCATCAATATTGCTTACTTCACTTTTTCGCAGTTGTGCTGGTCTAGCCATTGTTTCCCTGGAGTCCCGAGGTTAACCTGGCCACAAGTCTACCCTAGAACTTTAACACCAAAGGCAGTCGCAGACCTTGTGAATCAGAGAGAGATTTTCGACCATGCGACTTTGATACCAAGACGGTGATGGATTTTGGTATTGGTTTACTCTTAGCTAGGCTTTCTAATGGAAACGCCGGACGCCTCAGCTTGGAAGAACCTGCTAGGAAGAGGATCCCCCAGCTGTACCTCGCAGCCCGACACCCAGGAACACCTTCCAGCCACGATGAGGTGGTAAACCGCTGGGTGGATCCACCAATAATTAAGTAAAAAGTAGAAGATCACAACAAAAAAAAGATAACTGAAGAAACGAGAGGCTACCAAAATCTTAGAGCCATTCTAGACTTGTCTAAATCTCGAAGTATCAAGATGACGATCTGTACCCTGGAGGTACTCTCACGTGGATCTGATCTTTCGACAGATGACTTGATCATGCAGAGAAGGAAAACAAGGTATGCACTTATCGGAATGGCTATGAAGAGACGACGCCACCCATTTAACGCCGTCTTTGGCATCGTAGAACTATTCCTCGGAACATGTGATAGTGGAGGAGCAGGCTGTGCAGCATTATGGTCAACACGAGTTTGTCGATGAACATCATTTCATTCGAACAACTAACAACTCAAATCGGACGTTTACGATCGAACAAATGTGGATCAAAATCGGCTTTGATAACTATATGGAAGACGAGGTCGAAGCGTTCTATATGTACTGAGAGAAGTTCTACATAGAAGACTATTTGTTCTTAAAGGTCATCATTGTTGAATTCAGCGCTAAGATTGGATACAGAAGAACAACCGAAGGACATCACACTGGGAACCACGGATTAAAATGGAACGAGTAGGTGAAAAGCTATCAGAGCTTATCATAACGCCCAAGACCTTTCATGGCGGCTGGTGTTTCTAGAAGCCTCACTAACAATGCTGGACTTAGCAGTGCCCGAATGGCTTGTACGTTTACGAAATAAAACACATCACACAAAATTGAAGATTTTGCCTAACCGATGTCGCTGTTCTCCTAAAATTCTACGCGGGATAGACCATCGCTTTTTTGGAGCAAGAAATGATTTTTCGAGGAAAGGCAAGAAGCCGCTAAATTCAAAAAAGGAAGTCCCAGAACTACCATAAACTGGAACTTATTCAGTTAAATAGTCGGCTGTTCTCAATAACATCGACGAAGAATGCGATAGGCTCATTCAACATCTTCACGTTATTGCTATGGAAGCTGAGAGTTTAAAAGTCACCAAAAGGCGTCTGTCTCCAGAAACACCCGAGCTGATGCGCCAAGGTAAAGTGCAATCCCATGAGCTGCAAAGGTAGACAGGTGTCCACTGACGTCGAAAACTGCGAAACACTAGAGTAATGCGATAAAATAATATCTTAAAAGGGAAACAGCAGCACTTATAGGCAAAGCCGGAGTGGCCGAAATGAGCATTTACAAAACCCATCGAAATCAAAAAAAGGAAAAAACAAAGCCAAGATGATTGCATTCTGATGCCAAGACGGAACAGCAGGAGTATCCAGAAAGGCAATGGAGATAGTCTTTCACGATTACTACCCAGATCCCTTGAATAACTACTTCCTCCTCCACTCATACGAATAAAAGAAGTATGAATATATCGTCTCAGCACTTCTCTTCCAAAGTCCGAAGTCTCTTCCAAAGCTGTTTAGTTGGTGAAGAATCAAGTAGCACCTGGTCCGGACAAAATACGATTTGAACACCAAGGCGACATTCCAGAAGTCGTCGGCAACACACTGGTTTGGCTTTTCACACATTCAGAGTAGAAAGTTCCTATTCAATGGAACTACCAGCGTGACCGTGCTATTGTTCAGGAAGAGTAACCTCCAAGATATCTGCAAGTAATACCCAATGCGCTTACTGTATGTCGTATAGAAACATTTAACTCGAATCGACCTAAACAAGATTGACGGAATACTGAACGAAGGAGAGCCATGTGAGCAAGCAAGGTTTCGAAAACGATTTAGTCTGATGGACCACATCCACACGATAACAAGACTTATTGAGTTATCGCAAAAGTACAAAATACTACCCTGTTTCACTCTCATTGCTTTGAACAAGGCTCTTGACTCATCTGAGATAGCCTTGAACACTAGACTCATCGAAGCCTTGGACAACCAGGGAGTCGATGCTCACTGTATAAAGATTCTTCATAATCTGTATAAAGGTTTTTCAACTAAAAAATCGCCATTCTACAATTATATTAACATCGACATCAAAAAAGAGATTGGGCAAAGGAATACTACTTCACCAAAACTATTGTAAAGTGGAAGAAATGCTCGTCGACTTTGATAACGCTTGTAGAAAGATTAGTCTTCGAATAAATCTCCCAAAAGCGATCTTCATGAGAAACAGATTGGTTTCTTATGCCCCACTCACGCTTGACAACACGAATAACTCCGAACGCTTCAGCTGTGTCTATGTATAGCAGTGATGTTGACATAAGTGGTGAGTTTTGAAATAGACAAATGAACACCTACAAAGAAGGGTTTTTGTCAGGAATAAAGCGTGGAATAGAAATTTTCTAAGCAGTCCAAATTCCATAACATCTGTTTATGGCAAGATATCGAATGACTGCAAAAAGTCTAGAAAAGGCTTTCTATAGCAAAATTAAAAGCCGGATAGAGAATGAGAGATAAACTCGTGCAAGCTATTTTAGCCTACAATTCACTAGTCAAATATGACTTATATTACCACCATTGTACCAATTGCATGCAAATAGAACTAGTCACTGCACCTTTCGCGTCAAATTTTTGCGCTTTCTCCGCCACTCCACCTCGTTGCCTTCACTCTTTTATATAAAAGATGACGAGATCACTCCTCTTTATTATTAAGATAACACGAGGTTGTTAATAAAGCCAT